ATATCATTTCATTTCTAAATTTGTCACTCTATTTTGTTGTTATTTTCTTATTTCTACACTTTATTGCTTTTATTCTCAAATAATTTAAAACATTTCTAATATTCGTTTGGCTCAACTAGTTATTGATTTGTGAAGTGGTAATTGATAGAACTAATCCTTAAGGACGATACTTGAGACTCAAATTGAATTTCAAATTTTATTACTTGCTACAACTACCTAGTACACTTGTTAGTTAGTGTTGTCTGAGCTTTGTGACAGACTCCTAGTCAAGTACTTAAAGATCAAATAGTTATGAAGTTAAGAAGAGAGCAAGAGAAAAAGGATGAGAGAAGAAATAAAAGGAAAAAGTGAGTTTAGGGGCAAAATTAAAAAGAAAGGGGAAAAAGTGAAGACATTTACAAGTGAAAAATATGAGAGTGAAAAGAAAAGTGAAGAGAAAAATCAATGTGAAAAGAGCAAAAAATTATTTGTGAGAGAAAAAGAAGTGAGGAAAGTTTTGTTGGTCTCTCGGCCTATGTATCTACTTTTGTGTAAAGAAAGTCCTCATAGTAAATTTATTGATTTCTTTGCTAATGATATTTTGCCTAGTAGTGTTTCCTCTCTTTTGCAGAATTTTGAAGATGTCTACCCTAAAGAAGTATCTCACAACCTACCTCCAATTAGAAGGATAGAACATCAAATTAAAAAGAAAGTAGAGCAAAAAGCAAAATATGTCAAAAAGGAAAGGAAAAAAGTAGTATTTGAACCTGTGGATTGGATTTGGGTACATATGCGTAAAAAAAAGTTTCCTATGTAAGGAAAGTCAAAGCTTCAAATAAAAGAGGATGAATTATTCCAAGTCTTAGAGTGATTAAAAATAATGCATATAAAGTGGACTTACTAGGTAAGTATGGTGTTGGTGCTACTTTTTATGTATTTGATTTATCTCTCTTTAATGTAGGTAATAAAGAGTCAAATTTAAGAATAAATTCTCTTAAAGAAGGAGGGATTGATGAGAATCAAAGAAGGCCAATTGAAGATAAAGGCTTAAAGGCATTAGAAGAGCTTTAAAAACCAATAACAAGGACAATGACAAAAAAGATAAAGAAAAACTTAGAAAAAATAGTTGTTGTCCTATTTGAAAAAGAGTCCAATTTAGAGTTAGAATAGTTCAAAATAGTCAATTACATATTCTTAGAGAACTTGTACTCCAATATGTTCCATTAGGATTGGAGTACTATATTTAGTTTATTTATTTTAATATTAGTCATTACTTATTTTAATTTTTTTATTTAGGATAAAATCTTGTTATTTTATTTAGTTTATTTAGATTTGAGTTTGTTGCCACAGGAAGCCTATTAGGGTTGTGTTTGTGTTGGTTTATTAGCATTAGACATATATATGTTCTTATATACACACTTTTAATTAATTTTGAATACAATTTGAGATTGAACACTCTTGTAAGAGCGTGTGACTCTAGATTCTTGAGTGAGTCAATTTTCTTTGATCTTATCAAGAGGTCAAAACTCTTATGGTGATCTTTCTTTGGCTTATCAATCTTGCGATTGTGGCATCATTTTTCATCTCTATTCTATTTCTTTTTTTTTTATTAATTTTCTCCTTGTTCCTATTTGTGCCTTAACAATTTTGTTTTTGTCTTATGAAATCCAATTTAAGATCGTTTAATTCAGTAACACGGATTGTGATTATCATCAACGACAATTGTAGAAATCACTTCAAAGTGAGGTAAGTCTTTTACCATTTCAGATTTTTGCATTTTGAGAAGCCCTTGATAGTGATCATGTCTAAACCTCTTATGCCATAATCAACAACGTTTTCTTTTGTTAGAAAAGCTACATGCTCCTCCTATGTTGGGTTTAGTGAGAAGCTTTTACCTCGCATTTTCACCTTAAATAAATCTTGACCTATAGCATCCTTGATCAAGCAAGAATTATTTTCAAAAAATACCTTAAAGTCTTTTTCTAATAGTCAGCCAACACTCAACAAATTTTGGTCTAAGTCAGGCACATATAGCACATCAAAAATTGTTTTAGTTCTTGAATGTGTTGCAATGGCAATGGTTCCTATTCCTTTTACTAGAATATAATTGTCATGACATATCCTAACCTTTGAAATTTTAAAAAGCTTCAATTCCTTGAAGAGTTCCTTGTCATTAATCATGTGATTGGTGCATCCACTATTAATCAGCCAAGATTCGCTTGAAACATTGCTTGAAAAATAGGTTACAAAAAAAGTTGATCTTCCTCCTCTTCATCAGCATTTTGAACATCTTGTTTTTGTTGTTGTTAGGTTTGGTTCATGCAAATGACAAGTGCATGCCCAAGTTGATTGCACTTGGTGCACTTAGCGTTACGCCCTTTCCAACACTTGTATGGAGGATAACCTATTTTGTTGCAATGTTTGCAAGGAAGATACTTTCCCTTTGAGCCTCTTTACTTTCATTTTTTACAACACCCTCTCTATTTTCTTGTTGGTTCTTCTTTTTGTTTCTCCTAACATCTTCATGTTTGGCAAGAAAGACTTAAGAAAGCCTCCTTCTCTCATAGCCTTTCATTGTTCTTATGCCTGCAAGAAATTCAGCAACTCTGCCAAGGTGATCTTGGATAGATCTTTAGGATTTTCCAACGTGGTTATGATAGCCTCAAATCTTTCAAGCATAGTAACCAAAACCAAACAATCTTACTCTGTTTTCTATGCTCAGAAGCCTCAGAGTACTCCTTGATAGTTTCTTATTCCCTCATCTTTTACAATTCAAAGTCTCTAATGATATTCAACATCTGCATGCCTTTAATTCAATCATCTCTATCATATTTTTTTTTGAGATAATCTTATATACTGACTTTAGAGACATGGTTTAAGTGAAAATTGTTGGTCAAACTGCAAAAAAGAGGCATGCCTAGGGTTAAAAAAAGGTTAAACTTTTCTGACAAAGGCCTATGACCTAGCATTTTTAAGACCTAACTCGGCTTGACCTATTTAAGTAATGAGCTTAATTTAGACTTTTTAAAAGGCTTAATTAATAAAGTAGAGTAGGCTTGAGCTTTAAAAAAAAAGTCTACTAAACCTATTAAAATGACCTATTTAAAACTCATAAAATTATTAATAATATATTAAATATTTTATATTAAAATTATAATATAATATTATATTAAATAAATTATATTTTAAAATAAATAAAATCTTAAATTATAAATCCTTATACTTTTCATTGGAGTTGAAAAGTATTCCTGCTACATACCTTCTAAGAGAGAAAGTTCTACTTGCTGAAGTTTTATATAATACCGTTGTTTGATCTATTTTGTATGCATAACATTAATTTGCATTGTCTCAATTATGTATTTTGATAAAATAGAAATATGTAATTTTATTATACATATTGAAGGTGTTAAACTATATTTTTTTTTATAACTTATTTAGATATAAACCGTATGACTTTTATAAAAACATACCTATTTAGATAGTTAATAACCTATTTATAAAAAAGTTTAATTAGTTATTGAAGGTCTCAATATGAAGTAAATCATTAAAAAGGCTAAGATGTCAAAGTAGGCTTTTAAAAATGTCAGGGTAAGCTTAATAAAAAGTCTATAACAGATAATATGTCAAACTTAGGCTTCAAAATTATTAAATAGGTCAGGCCTTTTAATGCAAAGTCTAATTTACTTCCACCCTTAGGCACGCCTTTGTCTTAGCTTTATGGTTTTTCTATCCTTGTGATTCTTGATTTAAGCCATTGTTGGATTGTCGAGTAGCATAGGAATTTCAAAATCCTCTTCAACTGTCTCCCATAGATTCAAAGTCTTTAGGTAGACTTTCATTCGAACTGCCCAAATTTGATAATTTTTTCTATTGAAGATTGGTGGTGTTATTGCTGAAAAACTTGATTTCCTTCCATGCTTTCATATTTTTCTCTCACAAGTCCCTTAAGAATAAAGGTCTTTGATACCAATAATTTTTTTTATAAAATTCAAAGATACTACAGTAGAAGAAATGGAACCAACTTATTTTGAAAAAGAAGAAAAAAAACAAAGCACACATTTTTTTCACTTTAGAAACATTACAAATTAAAAAGAAAGCTTAACTGTCCACTCCTATAATTAAGCCATGATCAACAACACTTAAAAAACGTAACTGCTTCCTAAAGATTGGATTACAAAACAGCAATTGAAACAAATATAAAAATAAAAAAAACTGGTTGTGAAATCCTAAAACACTTTTCTAACACACTACTACATGTGAACTCAAATGGCTGAAAATCCTCTTACATTATCTTTGGATATCTCATTTGCAACTTATTCAGCTCTTATGTGATAGTCAAATTGTGTTTCATAGTATTAAGAACTCCATTTTTTATGAACACACCAAACATATAAAAATTTATTATTTTGTTTGCAATGAAATTCTTGCAAGCACCATTTGACCCTTTATGTCACCACTCAAGCATAGTTAGCTTATATTCTCACCAAAGTACTTGATTGTGCTCAATTTCATTCCTTACTTAATAAATTAAATATTTATAATCTTCATTCACCAATTTGAAGGAAGGGTGTGAGATAATGAGGTGATCCCAAAATTGAATAATGATATCAACAGTAATCATTGGATTATGTTATCAGAAATAGTTATGGCATTTGGTCAAACAGATTATATAGCCAATCAAAGAAAATCAAGTTAACATGCTTATAGAAATCGTTTTAGGCAATTATCTTATAAATATGATTTGATATTTTTGTAATTAGATTTTATGGAGATGTATCAATCTTGTTTTAATGTGAAAGACAAGAGAAATTCTTCCGCTGTTGTATCTTATTTAGATCTATCATAAAAAATGTAAGACAAAAAAATACTAAATTTCTACATCAAACAACAGAAAATACATCGAATGTTTCCTGGTAAAACGAAAACGAAGGAATACATAGATGATAGATACTTGAATTTACCTCGTTATTATCTCAACATGCTTTCTTCACCCTAAGATTTACAAATGTGGGTGTCACTGCCTAAGAAAATGATCTATCCATCTCAAGCGTTTCAGGAGCCTCCAAGATACTCTCTAGAGAAGGCTTCCAACCCTCAACCTCAACCTTTTCTCTGCTTCTTTCTATCCCTTTAAGCACTTGTTCCACTCCCATTCCTCCTTTCTCATTGAGTTGAAGTATCAACCATTTGAGCTCCTCTTTTGTCAACACTATTTTCATCCTTAGACCATTCTTCCCTTCATTATCATCAATCTTTGCAAATCCATTGCATGTTCCACTTTCTTCTTTTTGCTGCTCCTCCCATATATCTTGTTGCCTCGGGCTTACAGTGTATGTCTCCATGCAATTGCCCATTACTTTGGAAAGTGATCCTTTGCAAGATTTTGGATCTTAAATTTTTTGCCTTTGAATCTTCGAACTATTTACTACAGCGTGTGAACCTAACGAGGAAGGGATAATAGAGAACCTAATGAGGAAGGGATTATAGAAGGCCTAATGAACTATATTTATATACATGTAACATAAACAAACTTCAATAGGCCATTTAACTAATTAAAGAAAATGATTCACGGATTTTGAGCTAAGAGGGTGGGTTCACGGATATTTCTATAGCTAGAGTCTAGAAAAGATCTTTAAAATATTTTATTTGCTCAATAATGAGTGACGCATTTAATTGTTTTGTATTAAATTAATAGTCATGTCTCTCAATAGTCATTTGTCATCGTTTAAAAAGCGTACTACTTATTAAGCAAATTCAATAATTGGGGTGCCGGTGATGTAGACATTTAACTTATTATATGACAGCTGCATGAATAAATATATATAGATATATGGCATTATTGAAAATCCAGTGTTTTTTTATATGTCTTCACAGACAAAATTAAAAGATTTTTAAAGTTATATTATTTCGGATTAATGTAAAAACTGGTCCAGCATTTCTGATAAAAAGCTTGATTTATTTTAGTGACAAAACTTGCTTAAACACACCAGCGCCTACTAGTCTAAAGAATTTGACTTCTCTTAAGTAAAATATTGAGTCTGAGTTTTGTAAATTACAAAAAAAATATATATATATTTTTGAAAAAAAATATATCCAACCCAGCTTAAACCAATTGTAATTTATGTGGTTTTTAAACATTTTGACAATTTTTTTCATTCAAGAAGAGGAGTCTCAATATCTTGTGCCAATTGCACATCAAGAGATTATCAATATATTGTTATTTTGCTTAAAGAATAAGATATGGGCACCAATTACACTAACAACAATTTTTATGATTCTCGTGACAGCAAACTAGTTAAATTCCATATCAAAATTTTACTTAATTAGAAATTATTAAGCCATACATAATTACATTTATCAAGTCTTTCTTGTCTTCGCTAAGCTGTTAACCACCTAACTTCAACTGCTTAACGTCAAATATCTCTTGGTATGGGCCGCATTAGAATAGGGCATGATTTACGTCCCCTCTCTTGAAATTTCAAGTCTCACTCGCTTTTCATATTTCCAAAATGAAAAAGCTCCCACAAAGGGACAAATATTCTTCTAATTATGTTCCAACAGCTAAAAAGTAGAGCTGAAAATGAAGGAAGAAACTAAAGCATAGTCTAAATACATAATTGAATGCAGGTTAAACTCATATTTATTTCATACGTTAATTAGTTTTATATTTAAATTTATGTTTAAATTAAGGTAAGAAATTATAATTTTTATGTCGAATTAAAAGGTTTATATTAAATTTTACCAAAATTTTTCTTTTAATAAAAAATTTAAAATATAAATCGTGCTACTTCAAATTTAGTTTAAATAAAATTTATTCTATAAAATTAAATTTATTCACATTTAAAGATTCGTTAAATCTATTAATTGATCCCATTTTACCGTTTTCGATCCCACATTAATGCCGAGTAATGATCTTGTGCCACTACAATTATCCACCCTTTCCTACAATTTTCTTTATTTCTTTTTCTTCTTTTGGGGTAAATGACTCATTAGTATTAGTCTAATGTTGCCACACACAGAGTTTGGTTTTAGTCATTGGCGTGTGAAGACTGCTAATGCCACAAGTACAAGAGATTAATTACGCGTATTTGTTTGACATTGTCTTAACATTAACACTTAGCTCAAATAGTTAAAATAAAAAAGAACCTACATCTCAAACATGTTTAATAAAAGCATCTGTGTATTATGCTTATGTGGTTAATATTGACCCCTCTCATCTCTCACGCTCAAATTAAATATGGCTCCTACATATATATAAAGCTTATGCAAGTAGAATGAAAGACATTTCAAGCGGTAGAATTTCTTAAGAAAAACAATAACAGGGCGTCTTAAAATCGTTGGATGTGAGATTAATTTCTATTAAGACATGGGTATAGTACTAGCTACAGAAAATGTTTTTTTTATTTTAAATAATTTCACTATTAATCCAATTCACTTCTATTAAGAACGGAGATTTTACTTTTTACAAGCCCGTTTATAATTACTTATACTTATATTCAAATAAATTAAACTATAATAAATAATGGAGGAGAGTAATGTTATTCGCATAAATTTGCAATATTGAGTATTTGATCAAAACTTTTTTAAAAGAGAAATTAACCCCTATCAATATACTTAAAAAATTTAACCATCTATCAGCTATATTAAAAACTCAATCCTATCAATATAATTATTGCCTCCTTAAAATTGTATCATGTTTATTAAATAAAAAGTTAAAAAACCCGAACTAATACTATAAAGATACTAATTAAAAATAAAAAACATTCAAAAATATATTATTGTATACACTTTTTTTTATATAATTTTCACTACCCTATCAAAATAATATTTAGTAAAAAAAACTAGATAGTAATTTAACAAACATCCCTAAGATACTAATTAATAATATCCTTAAAAATTCAATCGCATCAACATTATGATAAAAAGTTGTATCCCAATCCTGATATTGCGCATTTGTATTATTATTGAGACAAGGATATAAATAAAGTCATTATGACATCATATGATGCTGAATATCAGACAGAAAGAAAAAACATATAAATAAAAATCATGTGACAGATTAAGCAAAAATGCATCATGGATTAATGTATAATGAAATTTAGTTTCCTTTTTCCGAAGCCGTGTGTCTTTGATTATATTACGAATATTTTAAAATACTGAAAAATATTTATGTATGATCAAATTTTAAAATTTGTGTGAAATTATATGAATCATATGATGTGCTAATGATATATAATTTGTTTAAATAACTGCTTAACAATTTTAAAACTTTGATTTCTTTGTCACGGGGGGGAATTAATAAGTCAGTGCGACATTACAGATCCCTTGTTTAGGTAAGATATGACTTGTGTAATATATATTTAACTAGACTAATGAACTGTCGATGCACATGCACACAATCCTATTCCTGACGCTGATAAGATCCACAAAACCTAATCTTGTCTTTGCCTTAATATGTTTGTTGACAATTTTAACGTTCATGTTGTGTTTGGGACAGTCAGAGAGTCCAGTCAAAGGACAGCTCTACACAAGAGATTAGGTTACCCCACCCCAAAATCATTGTGTCTCCTAATTCCCCCAAAATTCATAAAGAAATTAGAACACACGCTTTGTAATTAGTAATTGGCAAATATTAAATAAAAAGTTACTTTTAATTTTTTAACTACTAAAAGTACTGATTAACAAAACCTTTAATAATTACTCGGTGAATTTAGTCTTCGTCAAAATAGATTTTAACAAACATTTAGGTTAATGTAATAAATTTTTCTTTTTGTGTTTTTTCTCTCGTACATATACAACATATTATAAATGGGTAATCAAACACCTTCTCATTCTGTCATTAAGATATGATAACCAACGCTATGTTTGCCAGAAGCTTCAGTTCAGTGTTCCAAGCATTATTCTCACATTCTTCTTCCTGTGCTGTTGAGCAAGTCAAGCTTCATTGTTACGGTGATTTCATCCATTGTCATTGAATTTCGGTTTCAACTTTAGTTATGGCATGGGTTTGAGAAAAGAGTTGTTAAACTAATTTTTATTTGATATGAATAATGTGCAAAATAACCTAGCAAATGGATCATAGGCCCACGAGTTAAATGAAGGGCTACCTCAGTAACAAGTAAATCATTTTATTTACCTTTTTTTTTCGCTTGTCACATATTAATTTTAGACTTAAAATTATTTGTGAGTGATATTTAAATTATACTCTTTTTGGCTATAATAATTTTATATTTTAACCACATTTTATTTTATTTTAAATTTTAAAAATTAAAGTTGTTATTTAATTATTTCTTATTAATTTTATATTTTATGTAAGTACTTATTTTTTTTTACATTTATACAAATTTTCTTATTACTTTACATAAATGATGACTCATATTTATAGTCTTATTGCATCTTCCAAAATATCTTTTCCTTTATTATTTATTTCATTTAGCATATTTTTGTATTTCTTGCATTAAATTAGAGTTTTTATAAATACTTGTTATTTTTACTTTATATTTCATATTTTTTTTATTCTGACCTTTGTCCACTATTTTGGCCATAATTTTTTTTTGTAGATTTCCTTTTTCATTGATTCTTGTTGCAATGGATTCCTTACTTCCTATACTTCAATTTTGACATATGGATCGTGTTGTTTGGTGTAATAGCTCGGCAACTTATTTGGGATTGATGACTATTTTCACAAACCAACACAAGACATTTTTAGTGTGCTTTGTCCTCACTCACACACTTCCCAGGAATTTTCCAGAATGTCACTTATCCCATAATTGTCCCAAGTTAAGCACGCTTAACTTTGAAGTTCTTAAGTGATAGGCCACCGAAAAGTAAATACATTTTGTTGGTATAGGTACTCATAATCAATTCTTTTAAGCTATCATCAACTGTATACGCAGTCTCTGGATCACTCTCATTCTGGTGTAAATTTGATTCATTCATGTATCCCTTACCACTGGAAGTCTGCCAGGAGCTGCTCCTTGTTTGTGCACCCTCGCCTGGAAGCCTGCCAGGAGCCACTCATTGTGTGTGCTAGAATGTACTGGTGATCGCTTCCCGCCCTCGCCTAGCGCTTGGGTGTCACATTAGGAGTTTGAAGCTATTTTTTTATTAATTTTTAAAGTTCAGACTTAAAACATACTTTTTATATTTAGAGTTTTTATTTAGGGTTTTTATTATAATTACTTGTGGTAGTCTTGGCCTATTTATTTCCGTTTCATTTAAGACCCGTATATATAGGGGTCAAAAGGTTGACTTTACGCACTCTTTTTCATAGTCTTGGATTTTGTAAGATTTTTCCCTTTTTTTTAAAAGAAACCTTTTTCGTTGCCGTTACTTACATCCTTTCCAGATTCTG